AAAAACATACTTTAGTGGCACTACACTAGTGGCATATTTTTAGAAAATGCTACAAAAAATGATATTTAGTGGCACGTTTTTGAAAAATGCCACAAAACGACAAACATAAAAGGCTCTAGTGACATTTCAATGAACAAGTGTCACAAAACTACAACAAAAACATACTTTAGTGGCACTACACTAGTGGTATATTTTTAGAAAATACCACAAAAATGATGTTTAGTGGCCAAAAGTGGTCTTTTTTTTATTTTGGTAGTAAATAGTTTATTTTTCATAAATTATGTTCAATAAAATAATTATGTTTATACATATACTTTTATATTAATATGGATGTATGTACTATATAAATAATATATGTTGCATATATAATCATGTGGTGGTATAGAGGTGTAGTGGGAAGAGTATGGTGTATAAGGTTTATGGTGTGGAAAGTTGGCGGTTCGAGTCTCCGCAAGAGCGGATCAAATTGTTCTACAACAAATTATCGTCATGAATGGCACTTGATAGCACATGACATTAAAGTGTCACTGAAAGGTTTTAGTCTTGATGGTGTAATGACACTTACAAGTGTCACTAACTCTTTTTTTAATGGCGCTTGATAGTGCTACAAATAATATCTACCATGACATTAAAATGCCATTGAAAGTTTTCAGCCATGATGGTGCAGTGACACTTACAAGTATCTACCGTGTCACTCGTATCTACTGTGACACCGATAGAAGTGGCACTTGTTCAAAATACCACAAGACCAAAAAATGTCATTAGAAGAATAGTTTTGTGGCACTTTCAAATGTCACTAAACTAAGAAAATATTGTAGTGGAAAAGGTGGAATGAGAAAAAAAGAGAGAAGCTGAGGTCTAACATAGATTGAGATTAACATTGGTGTGGATTAATTTCCCTCTATTTTTATTTTTATTTTTTGTCTTTTTATTTACTGGTGTGGATTAATATTGGTGATCTGAACTAGGTTTTGTGATTGAGTTTATCATGTTTGGACATTTTCATGTATAGAGTCCTTTGATTGAAGTTGTTGAACTGAAAAATTTCAGTGTTATTTATTGAGATTGTGATTGAACCTAAACAAACACCTACCCCTAACTCTTTCTCTCTCTCTCTCTCTCTCTCTACATATTCTTCTCGCTAGGTTCTGAAAATCTGAAAATATTTTTTTGAGTGGCAGAGAGATTGGGTTTTGGATTTTCTTTGTAATTTTTGTATTAATGGGTAAAATGGGTCTTAGTTGAGCAAGTTAGAACACTACAAGAAAAAGCGTTTTTGGACATTAAAACTTCATTTTTTGTCGCTGAAAGTAGTAGAATTGGCGACTAAAATGGAATTAGTCGCCAAAATTGAGCACTTTTGCCGACTAAAAGAGTTTAGTCGCCGAATACAGGGGTTTTAGCGACCAAAAGGCAGTTTAGTCGCCGAATGTAGGGGTTTTAGCGACTAAAAGTTGTTTAGTAGCCAAAAGTGGCGGTTTTTGGCGACTAAAAAACATTTTCGTTGCCGATTATAGGTGTTTTGCCGACTAAAAACAGATTGGTCGCTGAAAATGAAGCTTTTTGGCTACAAAAAAAAATTAGTAGCTAAAAACAGTCAATTGGCGACTAAAATTCAGTTTAGTAGCCAAAAGGGGACGTTTTTGGCGACTAAAAACAGATTTTGTCGCCAAAATTGCTTATTTTTAATTTGAACTTATTTTTTTAGCGACAAAAAATTAATTAGTAGCCCAAAATAATAGAATTGGCGACTAAATAATGGATTTAGTCTCCAAAAGTGGCCTAAATTTTTTTTTAATAAATAATTTATTTTTTACATAAATTATATTGAATAAAAATAATTATATTTTTATATATAGTTTTGTATTAATACCGGTCAATATACTATATAAATAATATATATTGCATATATATTCAAGTGATGTTGAAGTGACATAGTGGAGCGAGTGTGTTGCTAAAGGTGTTGGCGGTTCGAAGGTTGGCGGTTTGAATCTCAGAACAAGCCAAGAAATTGGTTTTTTTTTTTTTTTTTTTTTTCACGGAAGGGCCTTTGGCAACGAAAATTTTAGTCGCCAAAAGTGTTTATTTTGGGCGACTAAACTGTTTAGTCGGTAATTCATGGACTATTGACGACTAAAAGATTAGTCGCCAATGTGTGATTTTAAAAAGTGTAAATCACTATTGGCGACTAAAAAGTTGGTCGCTAAAGAGCTATTTTTTGCCACTAAAAAAATTTTAGTCGCCAATACCTCCAGCGACCATATATATGCGACAAAAGGGGCGACTAAAAAAATTAGTCGCTACAAGTAAAAACTCGACTTTCGACGACTAAAAACGAACTTTTGGCGACTAAAAATTAATCGCCAAAAATGTTTTTTCTTGTAGTGGAAACAACAACACCAGGAAGAAGAATCACAAGAAACCCACTTTGGTGATTGATTGAAGAGAGCTTTTGAGGGGTGCAACAATGGTGATGGAAGGTCTCCAAGAAGACATAGATGATGGATCTATGCTTTTTGCCTCTAAGAAAAGCTTGGAAAACTAGTCACCTCTTCTTTTCCCATAACCGTCTTCCTTTGTTCTTCCTCATCTTCATCTCCTTCCTCCTCATCTTCATCTCCTTCCTTCAGATTTGGTATCATTTTTGTGGGATTATTGAAGTACCCGGATAACTGGGGGACAACCGGCTGGTCGTCCGGTGTGTCAGTTCACCAACGATCCTGCACAGTAAATTGGTGAAAGATATCCAAATCTTCAGTTTGGTAAAATATTTGTTATTTTTTAATTTGATATCGTTTTAGTAAAATTATTGGAGCACAAAAAGTCCATCTTTTTCACCAAATTTAAATTTAATGATACATCTGACAAACTATTGGAGATGGTCTTAAAATGCCAAATTTGAAATGAAATAGGCTATATATCACTGATTTTAAAATGCCATAAGCTGTTACACAATTCATCCAAGAAGTTCATGACATGCAAGTTAAACAAGAAAGTTAAGTAACATGAAATATGAATAAACACGTGTCTATTTATAATTATATTATTATATATATGTTATAGGCCTTCTCAAGCCGGCCCATAAATGTAAATGGGACTAAAAAAATTATCCAACTCAGCCAACGATGTTCAAATACAACTCCAAACTGTGATTGGACTAGGACAGGTTGAGCGGGCTTTGGAGGCCCATGTGGGTCCAAACCATAAGCCAACATGAATTAGTGTAAAGGAATATTTCACAAATAAATGATAAAAAGCTAATAATCTTAAAATATAACGCCATACTCTGATTGGACTAGGACAGGTTTAGGGGGCTTTAGGGCCATGTGGGTCCAAACCATAAGCCAATATGAATTAGTGTAAAGGAATAAGTTTTCACAAATAAATAATAAAATCTAATGATCTTAAAATATAACTTCATACTCTGATTGGACTCGGACAGGTTGAGCGTGCTTTAGCCCATGTGTGTCCAAACTATAAGCCAACATGAATTAGTGTAAAGGAATAAGTTTTCAGAAATAAATAATAAAAGGAAAACACTATAAATAATAATAATAATAATAAAAGGAAAAGTTACACTCATGTGGGACAAATATAAAACATACAGAAGTGCTACACTCATGTTTGGTAGAACTTCTCAGATATTTTAAATTGATAATTAAAAAAAAAGTATAGAAATTAAAAATATTCTTTTTGAATTACTTAAAATAATCGATTGTTTTTACCTTAATAAGGTAGTTTTTTTGGGCGAGGAGGAAATAAGGTGGGATCACAAAGAAATCTCACCTAAGCAACTGCTGATTAAGGAGGTCCTTCATGGCATAAGTTTATGTGAGAACTTATACTAGACACATTGACACAAATTTTAAAAATAAAAATATTACAAACAAATATTATAAATTGCACCAAATAAAGTCAATACTATTAATCATCAGAACCAATCTCATATATTGAAGTTCATTGGTCTATTTGGTAATAAATTAAAAACTAATAATAAAAAAAATAGAAACTAAAAATACCTTTTCTCCAGGATAATCACATATTTTAATTTATTTAAATTATTTCTATCTAATAATATATAAATAGAAATTATAACAAATAGTCTGATACAAATTTTAAAGATAATTATTAAAAAAACATTATACATAATTCAGTTCAGTTAAAGCTGCACCAAAAGGATTATTTTTAGAATAAAAATTAAGAGTTCTAATTTTAGAGCTCTAAGGATGTGACAATGAGTAGAATTCACATGTGTTGTGATGTGTGTGCTTATTTTTTTTTTCTTATCACATTACTAAAACTCTCTTTAAAACTTCCAAATCGAAACCCTCTATCATTGTTGTTATTTTTACATGTCAATCTGATATGGAACCAAACAACATACCTGTGTGGCAGCATTTGCATGTCAATTGACGTGTAAGCACCAACCCTGCCACTATTTTTAGAATAAAAATTGAGAGTTCTAATTTTAGAGCTCTAATGATGTGGCAAAGAGTAGGATCCACGTGTGATGTAATGTGTGTGCTTATTATTTTTCTTTTGTTTTTTTTCTTATCACATTACTAAAACTCTCTTTAAAACTTCCAAATCGAAACCCTCTATCATTGTTGTTATTTTTACATGTCAATCTGATAGAGCAAGGATCCTCTAGAGTGATTTTTCTCTAAAGTTTCCTAGAGTGCTATATCGTGTGGTTGACATTTACTGACAAGTCATATCAATTTTTCTGATGTGACTTGCCATACAATGTAACACTCTAGGAAACTTTAGGAAAATTTCACTCTAGAGGATCCTTGGTGAATTTGATATGGAACCAAACAACATACCTGTGTGGCAGCATTTGCATGTCAATTGTCGTGTAAGCACCAACCCTGCCACCTCACCACCCTTAGAAACACCACCCCATCTGCCTACCCTACCCATCCTCCACGTACCGTCCATGCAAACCCCTCAAACCCACTATAAATCCACACCACCACCACCACTCTTCTCTCACCCACCACCACCAAACCAGAGAATTAATCAGTCACAATGGCAAAGCTTGCAATCCTAGCACTTGCTCTCTTGGCCCTGGTTGCCCTCAGCCAAACCTCCGCCTTCCGCACCACCATCACCACCACCGTGGACGAGGAAAGGGAGCCCCGAGGAGAGTCCCAGCAACAGCGGTGCCGTGAGCAGTTCCAGAAGCAGCAGCAGCTAGGCGACTGCCAGAGGTACCTGGCGCAGCAGGCACGGAGATTTGCAAACCCAAAGCGCCGCGAGCAAGGCCTCGACGAATGCTGCGACCAGTTGGAGAAAATGGACCAGGACTGCCAGTGCGAGAACTTGAGGGAGGCGATTAGGCAGAGGCAGCAGCAGGAGGGAGAGAAGAGGGGAGAGGAGAGGAGACAGATGGAACAGGCGGCCGAGGACTTGCCCCAGAGGTGCGGTCTCAGCTCAGAGAGATGCCAGATTGAAGCTAAGTACTTGTTCTAAATGAGTTGTGTCGTGTTGTGTGCAATCTAATAATAAATTTTAGCCTAGTTATGATGGTGGTGGTGGTGGTGACCATCTAGTAATAAGGCACACTATCGTGTGTGTATCTTATGACTCTGTGTTTTTTTATTTTTTGGAAGTGTTTTCAGATTAGAGGTTTTGTAGCTATAACGAAATAAATAAAATAAATAAAATCTAGTTTAATAAGAATGGCTCTTCCTTTTAATTTTTTTGTAATGTATGATTGATTGACAGGATTAGAACATGAAATTAAAATTATTAATCCGTTAGCTTAATAATCCTCTATTTATTTTGAAATTTTGTTTCAGTATTATTAATCCAATAGATTATTAATCCAACAAATTTGTAAGATTATTAGTAATAGGGTAGGAATGAGATTATATATCTTAAGTTGAGAAATAAAATAAAAGACCTCTTTTACCTATTAATCCAATGCAAATCAAACAATGGATAAGGGAATTATTTATTCTATTAATTCAATTGAATACTGAATATCATATTAATTTGATGGAATTATTAATACCTTCACTATTAATCTTGTGAATTAAACGTGACCATAGTTTACTTTTAATAATGCCTCACCACCTACCGCTCATCAAAGTAAAATATTTTCTTTTTCGAGATCTATTAAAATAAGTGAAAATTACTTAGTGGCTAGCAAGCATGAATTTAAATTTAAAAAAAAATTGAATATTTTTTCCAATTGATCATATTTTGTGAAAAAATGGTGTTCTTCCACTATAATTTTTCGAGTATCAAAACTCGCACATAACTTCTAGCATGCAAGAATTTATGGTGTAATTTTTATGCCAAAAAAGAAAGAAAAAAAAATAACGAACAATCACTATAACATATAAGAGTTTTAGATTTTTAATCTCTAAAAAATGAATTTTTTAATACAAAAGACATTAAGAGACTAATTTTTATTGTCGTAAAGATAATCGTTAAAAGATTGTTTCGAAACCTCAAATATAAAGTTTTTAACGATAAAATTTTAAAAATGTCAAAATTAAAACTTTTAGCAATAAACTTTTGAAAACACTAATAAATATATTTTTAGGGATAAAATATTTGATCTCAAGAGAGTTTATTTTTTTAGACCAAGAAGTTAGTCTTAAAAAGATAATAATCCATCATTAATGTTTAACAAAAATTTATGAATAATACTTTTTGTAACAAAAATATTTAGTTCTTAAAAAATAATTTTGTTTCTAAATTTTAATCTCTAAAACCTTAATTTTGTATGTGTAGTGAATGAAGATACTAAAGAAGTCATTGAGTTTGGAGCAGGGCCGACCATAGGCATAAGCCCACCAGGTCATGGCCTAGGACCCCTCAAAATAGACCCAAAAAAAGATTCTCTCCTATTATAATTTAATATAGGAAAAATTACCAAGAAGTCTCTTTTGAAAAACGTGTAATCTATTTAGTCCCAAAACTTTTTGTTTGTACCCAAAAGTCCAATAACGTTATTCTTCTTCTCTGCCTTTCTTTTTCTTCTCTTTGTGATTTCCAGCAATCGTTGACGAGTAACCATATCTCGCTTCTTCTTTTTTTCTTTTTCTTTCTCTTTCTGATATATAGTCATCGGCGACCAACGACTACCATCGATTGGGATTCACCAGCAACCACCGACCGCCGACTCCTTACCTCACCGATGGTAAAAAAGATATGTTTCTGACGAAGAAGATGAGTAGATCTACTTAGATTTGGAGTAGATCTACTTAGATCTGATGTAGTACATCAGATCTGAGTAGATCTACATCAAATCCAACTAGATCTAAGCAAAAAATAGTTGCCGGAGTACAATCATCTCTCTATATTGGCCTCTCTCCTTCGATCTCTTATTTTTTTTACATTTTCTCTGCTATACACTTCTCTTTTTCTGTTCTAATGGTGAAAATTTTCAAATTCTGAACAAGTAGTTTTTGAGTTTTAGTTACAGGTGGTGAAAACTATAAAATTTTGTAGTTTCAAAATTTTTTTGATGCTGGAATGAATCATGGTTTAAAACTGTAAAATTTTGCAGTTTCAAATATTTTTTGGTGCTGAAATGAATCATGGTTTAAAACTGTAAAATTTTACAGTTTTAATTTTTTTTGGTGCTGGAATCAATCATGGTATAAAACTGTAAAATTTTACAGTTTCATAACATTCTTTAGAACTGAAAATTTTATAGTTTCATAACATATTTTTCAGTTTGATTAATAAGGATAAATGCTTAATAAATTTTTTCTTTGAAACTGTAACATTTTACAGTTTCAAAACTTATTTTACAGTTTAATTAATATTGGAGATTATTTGTTTAAACTTTACAAAAATTGAAAAATAATATATATTTTTTCCATTGTTGCTGTTTTTTGTGGTTTCATTTTTTTTCTTTATAGTTTATCAATATTTAGCACATTTTATTATGTTTTTTCGCTTTAATTTCTTCATTTATTCTTTTTTTTTTCTAGTAATATTCTAGACATTTCGGTGAGTCTCCAGTGATGTTCTTAACGTCCAGTGAACGTTCTGAACATTTCGGCGACTTCCATTAACGTTGTTAACACTCCAGTGAACTTCCGGCGAAACTTCGGCGACTTCTCGGTGATGTTGAACATTCCGACGAGTCTCCGGCGACTGTGTGACAGAAATCCGACGGTAGTAAGATGTAACAGTGTCTGTAAATTTAAAAAAAAAAAAAAGGATTTTTTGGGAAGAATTAAAAATATATAGGATTAATTGGTGCAAGTGTTTTGTTCGAGGATTAGCTGGGTCTTGAACTTTGTACATGGGACTTATCAGTAAGTTCCCCTTTAATATAATATATTAGATATGTTTTAAGTCCAAAAAAAAAAATAAATTGAAGAAGGCCTAAACTAAAAATAAATCAACCTATTCAAAAATTGAAAAACCCATTCGAAAAAATTAGCATTGTTATCCATTGACAATATACCCAAAAAAGGGCCCCCTCCTATTATAGTTTAGTATACTACATTAGGTATGTTTTAAGTCCAACCAAAAAAAATTAAGAAAGGCCCAAACTAATTTAAAATAAATTTACTCGTTAAAAAAATTGAAAGGCTCATTTAAAATAATTAGCATTGTTGTCTGATTTTGCAAAAAAACTAGACTATGCAAGTATGATTGATTTATTTGCTTCTAAAAATGTAAGAAGAGCGAGAATCAAGCGATACTTATTAGTTGTTGTAATGTAATGCTAAGTATTTTTTGTGATTTTGACACAAATCTTTTGTCTTTTACCTTTAATTTTTTTTTTTCATTCAATGAAAAAAAAATGTGAAGGGTCCCAGAAATTTATCAGTTGATTGTCGACTTTGGACCCCGAAAATCTCAAGGCTGGACCTGGTTTTGAGGTATGTCCAAATCATGACAAACAAAATCATAAGGAGTACTATTAACAATAACAAGTATGGCATAGGAGTGAGCATGGTTCGGATTGATTCAGTTTGAAAAAAAAATGTGACTAATTCATTGTTTACGATTTCATAAAAATTGGAATCAAATCAATCCATTTAAATCATAGAACCAATCTGAACCAAACCATTTAAACACAGTTTGGCTCGGTTTGGAATCACGGTTTCACATAATCTGTTCACAAGAAAAATTATATAACGTTTTAAAAAAACATTCAACCTAATCATAAATTGTTCAACATTAATTTGTCCATGATTTTTTGAAACATAACTTAAACAAACATAATATCTAGTAAATAAATATATTGTTTAACATGTAACAAGTATAAAATTCTCATCAAACAAATATTTTGTTGTGGCAACAACAATTATAAAACTAAAATTATGTTAAATAATTAAAAAAAAAAATAACAAGAACAACAGCAATATCAGTAGCAGCTCATCATATATAAGAGGGTAGAATTATATGCATGGTGTATGATATGTATATGGTTTAAGTTACATATGGTTCAATTCGATTTTAATCCGGAACCATAAACTCAAATCCGAAACTAGTCCACGGAGACTGATTCCCTAATTTTCCAAACCAGAATCGAACCACAGATTCAAAAAACCAGTTCAAACCTACCAGATTGGACTGAACGGGTTTGGATTGCGAATTTTTCAAATTCCTTAGTCAATTCTTGTATGACAAACAAAATCATAAGAAGTAATGTTAACAATAATGGAATCCTGAATACAAGATTTGAAGGAGTAATGTTAGGGATAATGGAAAAAGATCAAATTTTTATCTTTGATTAGTGTGGTGCTTTATTGTATGTATAATCGAAGGGTGGAGTTTTATCATCCTTAGCCTTATTCAATTTTGAAAAAAGAAAGAAGAAAACTGCAAAATTAGAAGTTAGAATAGAAAATTGGAGAAAAATTGAAATGTAAGAAATTAAAATTCTGAAATTGGAAAAGAAGCATGAAACAATGATGAGCAAAACACAATTGGCCAAGTGGACAAGTTTATTTGCAAAATAACAAAAATGATGAAAAATTAATCAATTATGTGTGGAGAAATTTAGTTTTGATACAGGGTGGATGAGCATACAGCAATTTTTGACCCTCAATATGAAGCAAATGAAAAAGCTCGAGAGGAATTGAAAAATAAAGAAACATGAAAAAGCATATTAAAGTACACAAGGTTAGCTCATCCGTTAGCTCATCCATGGAGATTGCTACCAACATGGCGTGTTCTAGAGTGTACTGGAAATAGAAAAGATTTCAAGTTCAAGATGAAGAATCATATGACCAACATCCAACGAAGAAAACAATAATATGAAAATTTTCAATTAAAAGTAGTTGGAAAAGTAATTTAAGCTTTACTAAATATTTATAGATTCTAAAATATTGTGGAATTGTATAAGGGGTGGGTTTAAAACATTTTTTTGACATGGGGCCACCTACTGTTTTGAACAAATGAATTGAGAATCTTCGATAATAATAACATTCAGTGTGTTTGGTTTGAGTTTTCTGAATTAAGTTTTTTGAAAATTGACTTTTTTAATTTTCATATTTTTTTGTTTTCAGTGAATATTTTTTAAATTTTAAACATTTTTTTACGTTTTTAGATGCACCTTACTTAGATGTATCTAAAAAGTAAAAAATTTGTGAAAAAATGTTTTAAAAAATTAATAAATACATACAAAAAATGTATTGAATTTTTGTATTTTTTTTTTGTATTTTTGGTATTTAGTGAATTTTTAAAAGATTTTT